ACCTCTCACCTGACACACCTACAGGAACCAGAGCCCTGAGTCTGGTGCTTGGGGTCGCTGTGACACACACCAGAAGAGAGCACAGAGTGGTGTCCCTCCCCAGGACAAAGGGGTGTCTGAGCCTGCCACAAGGCTGCTGAGCAATGGCAGCAGCAGCAGAGGCCAGTCTGCACTGGAGATCCTCTGGGAAGGCTGGGAAAAGCTCTCCTGGCTCTTCTGAGGAAATGCCCCCTGTGACAAACATTCCATAGAAGGTCCTGGCCATGTCCATGCTGTGGGGGCACCAGAGACCCCCACGGTGTGGCTTCGTGTCCTGGGAGCCACAGGGACAGGCTGAGGGTTGTGTGCCCTGGGCCTCACCACTGAGGACACCAGCCAAACTTCTCCAAGAGCAAGGAGCTGGCACAGACCCTGGGACACTTTCAAGTCACAGTTTTGTTGTTGGGCTGGTGAGCCCTGGCTCTGAGCTGGGATATGGCAATCTCCTCATCAGCGAGGGAGATGGGGCACGGACAGAGAGGCCAAGGTGGACAGCAGCAGTGCTGCTCTGTGCTGGCTTTTGGCTCACCTGGCCTCAGGAGCCCCAAGGTTTTGGGCAGCCATCACCATTCCAGAACCCACCCACTGTCTGTGCCAGTGCCTGGGTGTCTCCAGGCAGGGGCAGGCAAAGCCCCAGCACCAGTCTGGGCTCCTTTGCCTGGACTGGCTCATCCCTGGCTCTTTTCCAGAGGGTGCTGGTGGCCTTTCCCAGGGCCAATACAGAGGGAAACACCTGGCATGCACTTCAGCACAGTGCTCTGAAGGTGTGATCCAGGTGCCAGGCAGCCCCCAGGATCCCTAGGGGAGCTCCAGCCAGGCTGGAGATGTGCAAGGGCTCTGCAAACTGCAGGACAGCCCATGTCCTGCTGCTCTGAACCCCGCTCAGGGAGAGCTCCAAGACAACCAGAAGGCCATGGGCGCCACAGCTGGCACCACAGCACAGGGTGGCCAAGGAATTTGGGAGTTCCCTGAGCAGAGTGGAACCTCTGCAACGTGAGGGAGCCCCATAGCAGCTGCAGCACGTGGGATGGAAGCCTTGGCAGGTGGGCTGCACGGGGGCTGGAGCAACGGACAGCCAAGCTCTGTCTGTCAGGCACATGAGGGTGAGCTGAGGCTCCTGCAGTGATGCCCCAGAGCTGTGCTGGGATGGAAGCTGCAGCCATCTCCTTCCCTCTGCCACCAGACATCCTCCCTCCTTTACCTTCCCATCAGCTGCTGTAAGGATGAAGGGACCTGACCCTTCAGGGATGAGACAGAGCCCCAGCTCTGCCCTTTAGGCTGCTCCTGGGGGTTTAAACTTGCCCAAGTCTCTGGGGAGAGCAGCCAGCAAAGTCAGGAGCAAGGGGAGCGCTCGAAGGGGATGTAGCAACACTTGACAGATCTTGGTTCACTGTCCTGCCACAACCCAGCCCTTAGAGGAAATGGAAGCCCAGGGGGTTTTGGGCTGGGGAGGAACCTTCAAAAGTCTTCATCCTTCCTCTGCTCAGCCCTGCAGCATGGCCATTCTGCATCAGCAGGTCCCTTTGCCCCCATACAGTGCCCACATCCAGCTCCTCCCTTTTACTCCCTTCCCACCTGGGGACCCTCTTCCCCTGCTCTCCTGGCCCTGCTGCCAATTGCTGAGCACTCCAACATTAAGATACATTTTGCCAGTGGAGGCTGGGCTCGTTCAGCACTCCTGGCAGTCTGACTGCCCTGTGCTTTACACTATTTCCTGCTCTTCCTGCCCAGGGAATGCACACACCAGCTGACAGCTCTGACAGCTATGCAAGGCTGAGTTGAGGAAAAAAAAACAATCTTGAAAATGCCTTTACTTGCATCAAGCCAACTTGCAACCTATATAAAAAATAAATAAACTTCTCTTACTCTGATTCCCATAGATGCTGCTAAGGAGCACTGATAGTCCTTCAGGTTGTTGTATGTGCTGGATCCCAGAGCAGCTGCTCCAAATTCCACTCTCTGGGGATAACCCCACTCAGGCTGACTGCTGAGCAGTGGCTGCTCCCCACGGGTCTGGCACCCAGCAGCATTCATGCTGCCATGGCAGATGCCCAGGGCCTCCTGTAAGCCCCACGTGCCTCTTGAGGTCATTTCTTCTTTGATGTAGCCTGGTAGCAACATACTCACTTTGGATAACCACATGTAAATTTCAGAGGGGTGGGAAACTCTTGGTTTTATAAGCAAATATCCAGAGATTTCTTCCCAAGAGCAAGCTACGCTGCGTAGGCAGAGAAGAGCTCTCCAAGGAGTGTAAATGGAGGAGCAGCATTTCACTGACTGCCTGTCAGCAACACAAGCAGCAAACAAGGACAAGATGAAATACCAACATGCAGCTTGTGACAGCACCAGCCACTGGCACACAGGTGAGCTTGAGCCCTGCTGGTTCCAGTCCCCAGGACACATTCTTGAGTAGCAGGATGGGTCTTTGAAAAAGCATGAAGTTCTTTTGGAGCTTCAGCACACGCTCAGCTGGTGCTGAGTGTTGCTGTCTGTGAGTTCCCACTACTCACAGAACACTCCACAGAATTTTCTTTTGCTTGTTGCAGGCTGAGCACAGCCTGTCCCCACCTCCTTACCAACCCTGCAGGAATGTGCCCCGGAGCTGGGCTTGCTCAGCAGGAAAACACCAACCCATCAGCCAGAATCCACTCCTGGGGCAGTGGCAGGGGCACTCCCTGGGTCCCCTCTGACAACTAAGGCAGGGCATGGCTTCTGCAGCTGGCTGTGCCACAGGGATCGCCCAGACTGGCAGAGAATGTCACTGCTGGCAGCTGGGCAGCCTCCCCAGCAGTGGGTGAGGCAGGGAGAGGGCAGCCTCCAGCTGTTTGTGGTTCCCAAGCCCAGCCCTGCTGCACGGGGCAGAGGGGTGAGCTCAAGGGACATTGTGTCAGGATTTGTGTGCTACAGCCCCAGGCTGTCACAGCTCTGCTGGAGGCAAAAGCCATGTCCTGCCTAAGCTGCCACAGCTGGGACAGTGCTCCTGCTGCTCCCAACTGCAGCGAGACCTCCTGCCACAGCTGCTGGCCTTCTGTCCCATCTGCCTGCCCAGCCTGGGCAGGGGCTGTGCACAATGGGATGAGGAACCTGCCCTCCTTGAGAGGCTCCAAGCACTGCCTCCTCTTCCTCACAGGAGTAAGGTCCAGGCAGGGCTGCTCACCTTGCTCCACAGCATCCAAGCAAAGCCAGGGTTGTTGTCACTCAGGGGTGGGATGGGACGTGGGTGAGAGCAGCCCCCTCCCAGAGCCCCAGAGGCAGCAGCAGCAGCTGCCTGACTCATGCTGTCACAGTGCACCTCACCACCCACCCTGCTCGCTGGGCACGCAGAGCAAGGAGTGTGTCCCCACACCCTGCTGGGAGGATGAAGATGGCTCGGCAGCCCTTGGTGCTGTCTGAGATGCCATGGATCAGGGATCCACGGGGGATGCTGAGCCAGCCCATGTCCTGAGCTACCCAAACACAGGAGGAGCTTGTGGAGCTTGGGGAGGGAGGCCTGGGAGAGCAAGCAGAAGGGAAAGGAGTGTCTTACCTTGGGGTCACAGAGCACCTGCTCCAGTTCAGTCACAGACCCCAGCCCACCAGGTCTGTGCTGCAGGGGGAGAGACCAGCAGGGCTGAGCTGTGTGTGTGCTCCTGCCTGGAAGAGGTTCTGACAGGAAAGAGGGCGTGGTGCTGGCTCCCAGGTGAGTGACTCACTTCCCTCTTGGCACTTGTGACCTGCTCAGCCGTGCCCTGGCTGCACCCTGGAGCTTGACACAGTTCCTGTGGTCCTTCCTCAGGCAGGCAGTAGAAGGGACACAGTGGCTGAGACTCCAGTGAGGGGCTTGTCACTCTCCTGTGGCACCTGGTGCCTCACAGGCCAGAGATGGGGTAGCCCAGCCCTGAGCAGCCCCAGGTCAGGGGCACTGCCTGGTTGGGCCAGGGGTGCAGAGGTGGTCCCAGCTCAGCAAGGGGGGGCAGTACCCTCAGCAAGTCTGTCCTCTGGGCTCCTCATTTCCTTCCAGGTCCCGAGGTCAGGAGGCAGCACAGTGAGTATTTGTTCCAGGGCTTCCATGATGAGTGGAGATTCATCAGGCAAAGTACCAGGAATGGCACTGCTCTGCTCTGTTCTGGGAATTCCCCAAATCAGAAAACATCAGCCAGAAAATACTTCAGGCAAGGGCAGCTCATTCCTGTACTCCTTCTGCAGTACTATAAGCCCCCCTTGGTCCTTGTGCTCCTTCATCCTGGGAAGAAAGGCTGTTAAGGGACATGGGGGGCCCACTCCTTCCTGCTGCCACTGGCACTGCTCTGCCCAGATTCCACATGGGTTCCCCCAACATATTCTGTGGCACTGGCATTGCTCAGATCATGGGCACCAACATCCACCTGAGTCACTTGTAACAAGAAATCACATGTTTCTCTGTCTGCTCCCTTTACACCCCATGGGTTGTTTAACAAAGAAATGCTGCTGGGGTTTCCTTGTTGGTAACAACTGTCTCTTAAGTTGGCAGGAAAGGAAGCGTGAGGCTTTTAAGACAGTCCTGAAGGACAAGACAGTCACAACCCATCGGTGCACAAAGCACTGCTGCCAGAAGGAACTGGCTGCCTGCATGCCCTGGAGCTGCCCAGGCACCCAACTGCAGAGCTGCAGCAAACATCCCAACTTCCCAGCCCAACAACCAAGCTGAACTATGGCCCTTCCCAGCCACGCTGGTGATCAAGGCAGTCTGGCTCTGCAAGGAACACAGCCAGACAATGAGGACAGTTAATGTCCCCTCTGCCTCCAGGCTGGTGACACTGCACTTGGAACAGCTTGGGCAGCTTAAAAGGGATGTGGAGAACTGGAAAGGCAGAGAGCTGGCACCACAGTCTGAGCTTGGAGCACAGGTTCATGCTGAGAGCAGCAGCATCTCAGCACTGACAGCACTCCATTCACACTCGTGCTATTGCATTTTTTAATAATTCCAAGAAAAAAAACGGTAATTTGGGTAAAAATTTATTTTACATACAGACCATTGCAGCTTAACTATTAATCAAGAGAAGTTATTTTCCCTTATAGGAAGTGACCAGCTGGTCTGAGATTAACAGAAGTCTAAGCCTGAGAGCTGGGATTTCAGTTTGGAAATCAGATCTTGGGGGCAGGTTCCTTCCAAGCACCACTCAATGCAGTGAGGAGCTGCAGGACTTAACTGCAGGCCAGCTGCACTGCACAGTGCTGGAAGCATATTCCCAGAGTCAGTCCAGATCCTTCCCAGGCTGAACTTGCTGAGAAAGATGGTGCCTGGAAGGGTTTGGATGCATCTCCAGTATTTTGGAGTTCAGCTCTCAAACTAGAAACAGAAGTGGTGAAACAGCACAGTCTGTGAAGTACAAAACACCGAGTTACAGGGCAGCAGACACACGGGACAGCAGGAATGGCAGGGACTCTCCTAAGCCAAGAGTTCTACGTGTAGCGGGGCCCTGGCCGGGGTCATTCTCTGGCCCTATTTCAAACAGACAGAGTACAAAAAATACTTCGACTGATAATTAATTGTACTGGAAACAAACAGTCTACTAAAAAGCAAATCTTACTCTAGGTGCCAATGAGTCCTTAAAAGCAGAGAAGGGACTGAGGAGCTGCACTTGGGCAGTGCTTCCAGGATCATTCACGCTGCTCCATTTTTACTTTGGGAGGTCTCAGGAAGGTCCTGTTTTTCTTTTCTTTCTTCCCCTTTGTATTTGCCTGGAAATTTCTCCAACTGTCAACACGACCATCCCGACTTTCCTGGAAACAACAGGGAGGAACAAGTGAGTTAAAAAGTGCAAGAGCCAAAGCACAGGTAGTACACAGCAGTTTCAGATCAGTGGCAATTTCCCCTTTTCCAGCATGCAGCCCCTGACAGGCAGACACCAAGACACTGGGAAGAGCCAGAGCAGCACAGTGCGTGAGCTTACACACACCAGCATAAGCACTGTGCTGGATTCTTGTTTCAGAAACCACCAGATTGGGCCAGGTAGTCCTTACTCTCTACAGAATTCCCAAAGGAAACAAGAAACCTCTCAAATGGATGCTCCTAATCTGACAGCCCAGAACATGGCATGTCCTTTCTGTGCCTCAGCTTCTCACCCTCCTGGTGGAAGAACAGAGAAGGGAAAAGTACTGCTGCCTTCTCTCATGCTTCTTGCTCAAAGTCACATCACATTGATACAATGAGAAAAAAAGGCCTCTGGTGCACTTCTCTCCTCTCCCTGCCCTACCTGCCAAGCACCAGAAACCTTTCCTGAGGAGGAGAAAAAAACCAAATCAAAAAACAAAACCCACAAAAAAAACCCCCAAAAAAAACCCCCAAAAAAAACCCCCAAAAAAAACCCCCAAAAAAAACCCCCAAAAAAAACCCCCAAAAAAAACCCCCAAAAAAAACCCCCAAAAAAAACCCCCAAAAAAAACCCCCAAAAAAAACCCCCAAAAAAAACCCCCAAAAAAAACCAAAACAAAAAAAACCCACAAAACAAAACCAAAAACCCAACACCCCAAAAACCAAAAAAAAAAAAAAAAAAAAAAAAACCAAAAAAAAAACCAAAACCCCCCCAAAAAAAAAAAAAAAAAAAAAACCCAAACAAATCTCTCCACAAAGCCAACCTATGATTTCTAAAGACTGAAGATTTCACAGCAGGACAGAACAAGACCAGGAATGATCCACTTCACAGGATGTGATCTATCCACTCCAGGCCCATCTCTGCAATACCAGAGCTGCAGATGGGCTCTGGCTACAGCAGCTGTCTGCTTCCCTGCCCCTTTCCCATGCAGGATGGGACAGGGCCAGCACTAGCAGGGATCTGGATGCTGGGGCAACCAGACTGGAAAGTACCACAACAGTCCACACAAACACTTCCCAGATTAGGTTTTAATGGTCACCAGTGACTGGGCTAAGCAGCAATTCTATGTCACAACTAAAGATAAGAATGAACTGCTGACAGAGATGAAAAATAGTACACCTCAATTTACCAGACCTGTTTCTGCATAGGTGATACCAAAGCCCTATTGATGGGCTCGTCTCCACACATGAACAAACCCCAGGCTGGTGCAGATCTATTAAATTATCTTACAGACTTGCACACAAAAGGTCTCTCATCTCTCTAGGGGCATTCCCTGCAACATGGACAAGAATTGCTGAGGCCTATTCTGTAAGTTCAAGTGCTGAATACCTCAAAGTTCTTCTGCCATTCTCGTTCTCGTTTGGCTTTCTCTTGTGCTTCAATTTCCTCTTCCCTCTGCCTCTTCCTAGAAGGGAAGCCACAAAAGTTATGAACCCACTTTAGAAAGCAGGGTAATACTTTCAAATCATCTTGGAAAGCTCTTCTAATTTTTTGGCAGATTACAGAAGAGATAAATACACACACCTAAGATAGCACAGGAAATACAATTTGGTTTCAAACTTGGAAGAGCACTGAGCAGAGAAGATGGCTTGGCCCCACTGACAGCAAGCATACAAATAAGGAGTTGGCTTCTCTTGCTCAGCAAAACAAGCTGGACTTCTCCATCCAAGAAGCTGGACATCACTCTAGTGATAAGTCTCTAAAACTGTGGATGGTGCATGCTCTGAGAAGTTAATAAGCACTTCAGCATGCAAAGTACAAATTAAATTTTTAACCCCCTACTTTTCACCTGTAATCAAAAGCAACGTCCTGCAGCCATCTCCCACCTCAGTGACCAGCACAGAACCCTGCTGCAGGAAGTGTACCCACAGTGAGCACGTGATCAAATCACCTAAAATAGTTCAGGATCATACATGCCACAGGGTATTACTGGCATTTTAATAAAATCAAAAATCAATCCTCTGCAAGCTAATAGCAAGCAGAATTGTGTCACCATTTCACTGTTGTGGCTGGCCTCCGTGTGTACATGTAAGATAATACAACCATATAAAATATATTGACATCTTCAGCACAGGAGGGCAAATTTCCTGTGTGCTTTTCTCAAGCACAGGGCTCTACAAACCCACAGGCTACCCAGAGGTGTGGCAGGATCCAAATTATTGGCAATCAGCTTGACAGGACCCTTGTTCATCTAACCCAAGGCCCTGATTTCAGCAGGAGGTCAGACCAGATGATCTCCAGAGGTTCATTCCAATTTAGACTCTTCTAAAACTCTCTGATCCCATATCTTCTCTGAGGAAGCACAAGTGGAATGCCATTTATACCTTTCATGCATTTCTTTTGCTTCTCTTTCTTTCCTCTTAATTTCCAGTTCAGCAAAGAGCTTCATTGTCTGTTTGTACACAGCTTGTTTGAACTGTAAAACACAAATCCAGTCTTAAAATAATGCCTGTGAACACAGTTAAAGTCTGTTTTATATACAAATGTATGAAGCTAAAAAGAAAGCAAACCTCAGGTGTGCCCACATAACCCCTATCCTGCCCTGACAACAGCAGCAGCACACAGAAAGGTATAAACCACTGCTGATTAAATTCTGGCCCTGGCACCAGGAAACAACTGCATATTAACCTCCTATTAGTCTCATTTTAATTTGTATTCATGAAGCCGTGCCTAAACAGAACTGTTCACTTCAAAGCCTCTTATTCTTGGGTTAAGTCTTGCATTGTTACACTTGACAAAAAAAGGTTAAATGGTCACTGTTTTAAAGAGCAATTTTTCCAGCAGATCTTCTTGATGTGTTGTAAAAATCTAGCATTGGCTTCCCAGTAGGAAATCAGTATGCTTAAACCAATCTTCATTACTAAAGAAGAGCAAGAGACTTCTGAAAAATGAAAAATAGGATGGTTATGGGGTTACTGTGGTGATATCAACAGGAAGAAATCACTTTCCAGGAAAAAAAGGGCAATGAGACTAATGAAGTCAGTATTTGGCAATCACTGTTACAGCCTCTCATGTGGCTGCACTTGTCCAGACTAGAACCCAGGTAAGAAGAATTAAGTTATGCCATGCCTTTTTTAATACAAGTGGTTTGCTGCAGAACAGCACATCTGTCCCTCACTACTACATGAATGAAACAGACAAAATTGCTCTCATTAAAAAGTCACAAGCTCATTTTAGCCACACTGCAGTGAGTGTTTCATGTGCCCCTGCCAGCAGCAGGAATGCCACAGTTCCAGCAGTCAGAAGACAACAATAAATCAAATTCAAAAGAGTGCATGATGCACAAGCAATAAAGACTTGCTTTGAGAAAAGAACAGGGTATTTTGATCTATATACTCTCACAACATATTTACTCTTTACACTACAGTGAAACTATTTTCCACAATACACAGGTTCACCTGACACATGATACTCTACAGTGGCTAAGCAGAATTTGTTCTTCTGTAAATGTAAGGGTTTACAACATTAGCAAGCCTAATAAATACTTATGTACTTTGGTTTTGAATCTTAATTCCTCAAAACACATTTTGTACTCTCTGGTTTCTCTGAACATAGTATGACTTACAACTTCAGGATCATCCTCCTCTACAGTGGGAGGTTTTCCATCCTTCTTCAGCTGCTTCTTTTTTTCCTTCACCTAATGATTAAGAACAAAAATAAGAGGCTTAAAATTTTTATAGGGCTTACATAATTTGGATCTAAGTGGTTCTGCATTCCTATTCCAATGTATAGAAAGAACTCTGTTCTTGACTGATGTTTTGTTTTACACCAAACCCTCCTAGGCACAAACACACAAGATTACTATCACATGAACTGTAGTAATTAAAAATACTGTGTTGGATACTATTCCTCCAACATAATTCCTTTTGGTTTCTTGATATATATATATACTGAACATATCTTGAATATATTCTTATTCAATATACATCATCCAAACCAGCAGGAAGTTTATTTGGCTTCACAATATTCAAGTGACTAACAACAAACAGAACATCAAGTGTTCCTTGTGTTAAGAGTATCTGAGCTCTCCCATATCATCTGCTTTCTCAAGCTTTCTGTGTTTTAATCCAACCACATCACTCTAACTTCTTAGCCAAAGCAATCCAAGCTCCTTATCTTATAGGTCAATATCTCCCAAACTTCCCAGTCTCCTGCTGTCACCACCTATTCTCTTCCACCTACACATATCTGAACTGCATCATTCATTCACAGACTTGGAAAAAAATATTTAGGTCAGATCATGTGGTCTGACCTGATTATTTCAAGTACTGAATTACACTGAATTATCTTGCACTGAGCTCAACAGCAGTCCTGGACACAACAGGCTTGTTTCTGCTGTGAAGAGCTTGGAGCCCACCTGCAGAGTGCCATCACAAGGTTTGCTCAGCTTAGTGACCTAAACATGAAGCAAGTGCACCAAAAAGCAAAATATGAATGACTGATTACCACTCATCCCCAACTCTGATGTTCCCATAGAATACTCACAGTGTGTTCCACATATTCTTTTCCTGCCTGTATCACATCCAAGGCTCTCTTCTTTTGCTCCTGATCTAGCAGCAGCTTGTAAGCTTTATCTACAGCTAAACAAAAAGCATCAATATTAATAGCACCAGTAGTCATGTTCACAAGGCATCACAAGACTGCTACTTGTTGGCATTACTAATTTGCTTCTAGAATTTGTGGAGGTCATTTGTTTGGCCGTCTGTTTTAGCTGTTTTTTTGTTGTTTTTTTTTTTTTAAATTAAGTACATCTAGGAAAGTGGTAACATGATTAGATGAGTGAGTTTTGGGGTACAGTAATGGCAGGAACTGTGTGATACCTTCTGGAAGGTATCATTCCTATCAGCTGTACTTACAGGCATGAACACCTTACAGTGACTTCCTGCCTGCACAGCACACACCTAAAACCATCACTCTGTTTCTGTCCTGTGGTCTTTGAATACAATCTAATGCACAGATTAAACAGCTTTTCTTGAACAATCCCAAAACCCCATGGAGATGTGTGTCCCTGTTGTGACATGACAATGGCATTGTTGCCACCTAGTGCCACCTGCTGAAATGCCACCACCTCACACAGCTGCTGCTACCACAGCTGCTTCTGCCCCAGCTAAAGCACCTCTGCAGCAACCCTTCTGTCCCCTCCACCCCAAGGAATTTTTAAACCAGCACCAGAAAAGCTGACACTACTAACTCAGAGCAGGCAGAGAGAGAGCATTACCTTCAAACGCCTTCTGGGCTCTATCTGCATCATCTTGGTTTTTGTCTGGGTGCACCAATATTGACAGCTGCAAGAAAAAGAATCTTGCTATCAAGATCATGGTAAAAGATGAAGAGTATTTCAGAGATTTTTGAGAGAAGGGAAATAGACAGAAAGAATCCAAAGAGATCACATTCATTTGTACATGGACAAACCAGCTGACAACATGCAGAACTATGTGCCAGTATGAGCTGATAGAACAAACAATCCTTGTAACAAACAGGCTGTCCAAGAAAAGCTGCAGCTTGTGATGAGAGGAACAATTTAACACCCCTCAGCTGATATGAACCCCTTGGTCAGCAAAGATTTGTATCCTTGGTGTTGACAAGAAACAAACATAAAAAGATCATCCTCAACCAAAGTCTCTCAAGAAGTTCTCCAGCATCCCCAAGACTGTCCAAATAGCAAACTATTTAAGAGTGGTCATTTCTCCTTAGGCTGCTTTACTGAAAGTTAAGAAAACTCCTGCCTGTGCTGTACCTGGCAGAGACAGGAGATAGATCACTACCATCCTGAGGGGAACTTTAACTGGGCTGGAAACCCATCCTCCACATTCCTCTTTCAGAAAGTTATTTAAAACTTTCCGTATCGCCTCTTTTAATTTTTTTTTTCTTATACAGACCTTTTATTTTTGCCATTGCTGTACAGAGCAGCAACTGAAACTGCTTTAGTGTTGAAGAATACAAAATAACTACTTTTGGAACTGTACAGCTGCCAGTTTGTAGCTCCCAGGAAAAGGTTTGCCTTCAGTCCTGGACAGATTTACTTCAGCCAGTGCCTTTTTTCCCCCTTGCTGGCTGTTCCACATTCTGTACTTGGGTGTTTGATTTCTTCAATGCACAATTCCATGCACACTTCTCATTTCATTACCCTGAACTCAGAACATCTCCCTGTACTGTTTTACCAGCCCAAAGCTGAGAACATCATACTTCATTGTCTTGCAGAAGTGAGAACCAACAATAGACCAAAAAATTATTCCTGTCACTTCCCACACACAGGAGGAGCCCATATCCTGTTCCTCTGCCACCCAGCACCTTCCTGTCTAAAGACCTTCACACCATTAATTCAGGTGGAGGCTGCAGCCCTCCAAACAATGTTTCTTTGCTGTATGCACTGATTAAACTCAAAACTTTTCCTGCAGGTCTGTCAGCAGAGGCAGGCTGGGGTGATGTTTCCTGTGCTGCAGACCTGCCAGGAAGCAGGGCTGCCTCTTTCCCAGGTAACCAAGCCACTAAAAATGACCACGGCAATTCTTAAAGAAACCTCAGAGAAAATCTGGATCCAAGTCCATGTATTTGAGAAAAATACCTTTTGATCTTCCTTTTGAACTGAAGCTCAAGAGGCTGATCATACATGGCTATATTAGCTGGCAATAGTCCCATCACACATGGCACAGGCAAGCAGCCTATCATGCTTGGACCAGAGACACTGCTGCAGCTCTCCTCTTGTTGATACAAGCATTGCTCTGTGCATTTCTGCAAAAATATCTACCCAGATAGCTTTACTACCATTTTTCTTGTGCCCACACCCAGCTGCACAATCTCCTTTGAGTGCAAAAGCTGAATACCTGTCGGAATCTTTTCTTTATCTCCTCATCTGTGGCTTCAGGATCCATCTGCAGCACCTAAAAGAGACCGTGAAAGCAGAGCAAGTTTGATGCTGCTCTCCATGTTTCAGGTTCCTGCCAGCAAGCTCTAACACTCTCATGAGGAGTGGCTGAAGTCACTTGGTTTGTTCAGCCTGAGGAAGAGGAGGCTGAGGGGAGAACTCATTACACTCAAACATCCTTCAAGGGGCAGCTCAGGGGCAGGTACTGAGCTCTTCACTCACAGGACATGAGGAAACTGCATGAAACTGAGTCAAGGGAGGTTTAAATTGGAGATCAGGAAAGGTTCTTCCCCAGAGGGTGCTGGCACTGCCCAGGCTCCCCAGGGAATGGGCACGGCCCCGAGGCTGCCAGAGCTCCAGGGGTGCCCAGGGTGGGGCTGTTGGGGGGTCTGGGCAGGGTTGGGGCTGGACCCAATGATCCTGATGGGTGCCTTTCAACCCAGCACATGCTGTGATTCTGTAACACTTGGTCACTGGCACACAGACACACAGCAGAAAGCTTACCCCACAATGACACGAATTTTCACCCAGTAAACAGAAACATTTCACAATCTTTTTGACATTTGTGTCCCTACTTTTAGCAGTGCCAGATTCCTCTGGCTATGCCAGTGTCCTTTCTATGTTCAAGTCTTGTGTAGACACTACGATCCCTAAACTGGTATGAGCCTTCAACCAGTCCTGCAGCAATGCTCTGTCTGACACAAACAAAAGCAGTGGTGGTTTGGGGACAATGTCAAGTCACTCAGAATGTTGGACAGGAAACATACTACTTTATAAGAATTTATTAATTTTATCATTTTGAAAGACAGTAGAGTTTTACTGTTTGGTTTCCATGACTAACAGCACTTATTTATTGATCTTTACAGATATGGCAGAGTTTAGGAACTCTTTTGTGAATTAATTTACTGAACATAAGATTTAAGCAACAAGTGAGCAGATGCTGGTCTGAGTCTAAGAATCTGTAAATAAAAAACACTCTCCCACAGGAAAGCTACAGTCTCCTCTGAAACAGCTTTCTTAATTTACTTTTTAGGTATTAAGACCTATACAAAACTGAACATTGCCAAAGTGAATCTGCTGGCTCATCTGGCTGACCAGCTCTGAACTGGGACTACAAAAAGCACCTGAGGCTTCAAAAAGGCAGTGAAGATGACACCAGGAAGGAACACACCCAGGGAAAGCCAACTCCAGATGAATACAGTATTGTTTATTTACTGCCTTCCTCAGGCTTTCCTACTCATTCAGACTTTATAACTGACTGCAACTGGAATAACACTATAAATTGCAAGGGCATTATCCATTACCCAATGGCTCCTCAGAGACTACTCACTGGTGTGACCACTGAGAGACCTTTTCTTACTCTATCCACTACACAAGTTCAGTGGAATGAACACCCAAAATAAAACACACAACTACAAATGCTGAATTAAGAGAGCTATGGCCAGAACTGCCAAGCTGCCACCTCCAACTACTACCTTCCTGTTCAGAAAGTACCCAGCCAAATCTTCCAGTGCTGTTGTACGAGGGAAATGTGACAATATACAGTTTGTCCTGCTGTCAAACACTGAGAAAAGACAGTGAGCACATATAGACAATGCTGCTGTCCTCTGCGAACCTTCTGCACCAATCTGTACCCAGAGAAATTTCTTCTTTCCTTATGGTTCTCTTTTACTGGAATAAATACTCAGGAGCCAGAAAGCTCACACATCAATTCAGAATGTTCAAACTAACCTCAAAAGGGTTCAAGTTGAAATACGAAGATCCAGGTCGGGTCAGTCGGTCAATTTGGTTTTTTGATGTTAAAACAGAATCTCGTTTTTCAATTTGCTTTACCTGAAGAACAGAGAGACCTGTATCAACTGACCATCACAACAGCCTCACCTGTCTATTCCATGCTGTTAGCATACAGTCATCCTTGTCCTGTACTACAATTCACAATGTCCCTTGCTTACCCCAAGCCTGTAGTTATTTTCTCAGGCACTGGCAGTACATATTTTTTAGCCCTTCCTACAGCCCAACAGCATTTTCAACATCACATTTTATCTATAAAACATGCTGCAGAACAGTTCTGTTCGTTCCTTCTATGGCCTTCTCCACAGCTGTGCCTTCCCTCCTGCCCATGCACCTCCAGCAGTTCTGTGCTGATTCCTTGGAAACCACGGCATTGTTATTATTATAACGTATTATTACTTTTAACCCGTTGTTGGCAGTGCAGCCCTTCAAACACGTCAAGCGACACTGATGCAAACGCACAAGCCCACTTTAATGCAACCCCAGGTTATTTAGTTCCGTTTTTACCATTCACAGCACCATGCCGAACCAAGCCGTGCATTCACATTTAACGTTCACCTTTATTTAAACAAACGCGCACGCAGCGAACTGGCGCGCCCTCAGGAAACACGACCAGGCCGTGCCCGCAGCACCGGGCCCGGCAGGCGGAGAGGGGCCCGGGCCCTGCCCGTGACGGTGTGCCCGCAGCAAGGCCGAGGGCAGCGCGGCGGGGCCCAGCGCCCCCAGGGCCGCCCGCGGTCCCGGCCCCGGCAGCAGCCGGGCTGTGGGCGGGCCGGAGCGAGCACCATCCCAGGCTTGTCAGAGTCTGCA